AAGGTGAACGTCATCGTGACATGATAAAAAAAACTTTGTATAGCCTGAATTACATAGATGGCATGGACTTAGAAAATATGTGGTTTCAACAGGACGGTGTTACTTGCCACACAACGCATGAAACAATGGGCTTATTGCGAACATATGCGGTCTTATTGAATCACCCTATGGATATATGTACATGTATGTACTTATATGTATGCATGTGTGTATATCATTGTTGATTTGTCTCGCACGCTTATCGGTTAACTGTCGGGTTAAAACTATACCAAAGCTCACAACTCAACTAACAAAAAACGCCAAGAACAAATACTCGGCACTTTGAGCGTTTTATAAACACATAAATATTCATACAAATATATGCACTACGAATGCTCATAAATATATTAAAAAAAAGTAACTCAAGTTAGTAAACGCCTGGGAGTTGACGTTGTCGCCGCAGTTGAGTTTTGCAACCATTTATTTGTTTTTGTTTAATTTCCGTCGCTCTTTGCTTTTCAAATAATAGGCACAAAGTTTAGTGTTTATAATTTTTATTTATATGTGTTTTTTTTTTTGTTGGTTGCCAGCATCGTGTAAAATGAGCTTCGCTCAAGCGATTGCCTACGTTGTGAAACTGGTTTTGGTAAAAAAGATCGACGCTACCGCCTTGGCCGGAGCTAATAATTCTCAGCTCAGCTGTTCGTTCAGTTGAGTTTGCTTCCTACTTGTCTCGAGACGCCTGCTTATAAAGCAGAAAACATTATTAATTAACGTATCGCGTTTACATTTATGAGTGTACCAGCGCTTACATATACAAACACACATTCGAAGGTATATCCGTTTACCACATGGCTTTGTTGCTTCGCGCTCAGCGCCCGCAACGCTTTTGGTTTCAACTTTTTCTAAACGCTTTTTTCCGCTGACTTGGCTGTCTGCTGTCGATTGCTGCTAGACGCTTTACCTACAGGCTGCTGGGCTTACAAACCTCCTAACCAATTCATATGCAGTCAGTTCGGTGGCAGCAGTGACTTCTTGTGGTTCAACGCAAATTCATTTTTCTACCGCAGCGCGGCGTCAAACGAGCGCAGGACAAAAACATCAAAGCGCCTGAATAAACGGGGAAATATAAATAAAAAGGCAGGAAATAAAAAGTGAAAAAAGGCACAACGCGCATCATGAAAGATGAGAAACGCTGCGCAAAGTGATGCATGACTCCTTGGTGCAGCAGTCAGCAACTTTGGCAGCAACAGTGGTGGCGCTGATGGTGGTGGTGGCGATCTTTTAGGTAGGCGATCACTCAGCCAGCCAGTGACGTCACGTCATTCAGACACTAGTCGCGCATTGAGTGGCGGTTAGTCAGCCGCATAAGTTGATCTTTTGGGGCTTTTATGTGCTGCGTGTGTGGTTGATGCCGCCGGCGAACGCGCGGACGAGCGAACGCATTTCAGTGTGATTTGAAAGCATTTGGCATGCGGTTGGCTGTCGCGCATTGTAAAGGTGATCGATCCAACGAACGAACGTTCGATAGTGGTGACAGTGCATGTGATACTAAACGCCTTTATCTACTAACGTATATGATGTATTTGAAAAGCAGTGCGCGCGTCATTGTAGTGCTGATTGTAGATAGCAGATTTTTTGGAAAAAAGTGAAAAAATTGCGTTATAATGCGAAATGAGTACAATAGAAACCCTTTGGCGTGTGGTTCGCTAAAAAACGCCTAGGTATGCTAATACCGCGTGGTACTTCCGCTGTAAAAATGCAGTAAATGCTCGCTAAATGAGTCTGAAGTGCAAACAGAGTGGCAAAAGGTTGAAATAAATTGCCCAAAGGTTGAGAGCACGAAAGTAAAATAAAAAGAAAAAAACTATAAGTTGTGTAGTGATCAACCCCTAGCTAAAGATGATTCTCATTTTGCATGAAAAAAAATTTAAAGCAAAATTAAAAGACAAATTTTCTTTAAAATTTGCATCAAAAGAAAAAAAGCTTAGCCACAAATAAATGATTTATATCTCATTTTTACAATCCAGTATCAGTGGCCGACTAACAGTGGTTATCAGCCAGTTGTGGGATTTTCATTTCCTTTCGACTCGAAGTAAAGCTAATTAAATTTATTGTTCAATAAGCAGCGTGTGCTCACCTATTTGCTAAAAACAAACAAAAAATAATCATTAAAACCAACACAATAAATATGACAAACTCTGCGCTTTTGTGTGTGCAAGCGCTGGCGCCTAATTAAATTTTCACAGCAAGGAAAGCAAAACATTTGTAAGAAATATACTACACCACAGACACTCACATAAACGTAATACAAAATCACCGTGGCGAATTTCTGCAATCACCTGTTCGTTTTGTTTTTATCAAATTGGCTGCAACAATGAGTGTCAGCAGCGCGAATCAATTAAATAAGGCCAGCCATGTGTCACAAGTGATTTTATCGCCAGCGTCTGCGACGTCATCGGCGGCGGCGGTAGCGGCTCCCCGTAAACCAACAGAGTGGGAGCAGAATTTCGAGGCGAAAATAAAAGATTTATCGCCCAGCGAACAGGAGGCCGTACGCCGATTCTGGAGGTACATATGAATTCACTAATTGGCTCCGACTGGGGTGTTTATTAAGAAAGTGAAAGGGTGCGTGCACGTGGAATTAAATTAACACACAATTGCGCAAGCGTACGAAAATTGTTATTGAAAAATGTTTCGACAGTGATGAATGTCAAGCTACCGGGTTAATAGATTTAAGAGGATTTTGTTGTAAGCGGATTTAAGCCCTGGAAACAAATGAGCAATATGCGCATATCTATAATCTTTTCTACTTTTCTTGAAGGGGGCTTAAGAGTTCATATTTCTTCATTGCTTTGCTATTGTTTTTCAATATCTTAAGAGCTTTAGTAGCAATCTGCAGGCTTGGTTAATCCCCAAAGCATTTCTGCTGTCAAAACAATAAATTAGATTTTTCGGTTTCGTATACGGTAAATAACACTTTCAAGAAACCATAAATAATCATAATGGAATATCGAAACTAAAAGCTTTGTTTACAGTTCAAAATAAGAAAAAGAAGTCCAATGGTGTCAAATCGCAAGATCTCGGCGGTCATTTGACCTCGTTGTTTCGCAAGATAATGCGTCCTGGCAGCTTCGCTCGCAATAGGGCAAGTGGCACCGTTCTGTTGAAGCCACATATCGTCCATGTCTATGTTATCTAATTCAGGCCATAAAATGTTGGTTATCATGTCACGATAACGTTCACCGTTCCATTGTTACCCTTATCATTTTCGAAAAAGTGCTGTCCGAGGAAACCGCCAGCCTAAAAACCACACCAAACTGTTACTCGTTGTGGCTGCATAGTTTTCTCTTGAATGACATGTGGATTTTCAGTACCCCCAACGAGGCAGTGTTGCATCAAATTATCTGTTCAGCAGAAAATGTGCCTCATCGCTCGTGATGATGAGCGCGAAATCCATTTTTTTCAAAACGACCATTTTCATAAAACGTTTGGATCACATTGACGCGTTGTTCAACTGAGTATCGTTCCATGACTAAGTTTGCCAAAGCCTGTAGTACGAATTGTCTGAAATAAGAAAAGAAAGAACATTAACATATCACAAATAATTTCTGTCAAAGATCTACCTCGCCCTTGATAAACCTATAGTTGGTTCATATAGTAGGATTAACTCTCTTGTGTATTGGGCAGTGAACATTTACATTCATCCGATCATATTTCGCTTAATAGTTGAGGCGTGCACCCTACAAATACCTCTTCCCAGTTTGTGAATAGCTCTGTTGGCAAGTCGTCAGCCCCAGCAACTTTGTTGTTTTTCAATCGCGAAACTGCTATTCATACCATCTTATCTATTGACTGCAATGCCATTGAGCACAGTGTAGAAGCGTTTTCTGCTTAAAGTAATTTATAATTCAATATATTCTGGATATCGGTTACTAGGCCGCCGTATTTGTTCTTATATGAATTTTCTCTGCCTCCGCAACCTTTTCTAAGTAACCTCTTTGCACTGACGTATTTCGGCATCTTTATTTTATTACGAAAAATACTTCGCTGATAGATATCGGTTTGGCTGAAGAGTGCTATTAGAGAACTGGTGTGAGCTCTCTTTAAACAAATCTTTTGACATCTCAACCTTTTCTTCCATTGGGTCGTGTATTCAGATAAATAAGCGAAATGTTGAAGAACCTCGTTTTGGTGCGCACTCTGGGGAACGACGAGCTCTCGCTCACACCATAAATCCAATACCGGCGACTCAGGGTTCCTCGTTATTTCTTTCTTGCCCCAGACATTGCATTTTTTGTCATCAAAAGAAAAGGATCCCATCCGAGGCCTTTTGTTCTTTTTCATTGGAAGTTTTTGTTTGACGTAGCGGGTCCCAAACATAGCGCACAGCCAGAACCTTCAGTGTATTTTATTGTTGTAAAATTAATAAAAGCTAACCTGATAAGAAAGAAAATGTCAGTTAGTGTGATCTGATACCCGGATTTCCCTCATCTGTCTCTTTCTTCTGTATACATGCCTTTTCTCCTAAAAATTTCAAGCTGCATTATTTTATAATTTATAATTTATAATTAGAACGCTGATCTCTTGAAGTCATTTTAATTCTTTAAAATAATTTTGGTTCTATGTGAAAATATTTTTAGAGTGTGTTCTGGTTTGTAACAAAAATATCTACAAATCAAAAATTAATTACGGCGCGTTCACTTACTAGCCACATATGTAAGTATTCACAACCCGTGCATGAAAAATGATTTCCAGACAATCAAAACTAATTATGCAACACTTCACGGGAAAACAAATAGCCGAGCACTTAAAAGGGCGGAAAGCGATTTTTCACTTTTACATTGAAAAATGCGAGACGGTTGTTAAGAGCGTGATTTTTTCTGAATGTACATAACTATGTACATATGTATGCGAATATAAACAAATAAAAACGAAGATAATAATAAACAGTAAAAGTATTATGACAAATTGAAAGGGTGCACCTCGACACATTTGAGACAAAAGCGAGCTGACTCGTGATTGTTTTTGGTTGAAACATATTCTGCTATGTTAAATGTTAATTAAATAAAGTTTGCTTAAATGCGGTCGACCTCTAGAACCATAGCTGACCTTTTTTTCTAGTGTCGGGTTCAACAATTAAGGTTAAATATTACATATTTTTTTTTTAAATCAAATAGTGTACATATATTTTTAACCGACTTGAAAAAAGAGAAGGTTATCAATTCATCGGAATATTTTTTATTCTTTTATTTTTCTTTATGTATGTATGTTGCCGCATAACTTTGGACCACGTTAACCGATTTCTATAATATAATATTTTCGAGGGAAAGGTGGCATCTCCGAAGTGGTCCCATACTAATCCCTTTTTGGTTTTGATCCGATCATTGGATCACGAGGAAATTAACATTACTCTTAAATTTGTATATGAGAATTAAAGTCGGTATTGTTTTTTGCTTAAAAATGGCTTGTTTATTTTATTTTTAGAATTATGTGATTAAATGGCTTTTAAATCATATAAAATTATATTCAATAGCTTCACAACCTCCACTTGTTCTCATTTCTTTTGCAGTACTTTCCTCGAAACAAATTTATGCGCTCTTCTGAGGGAGCAACAAGCCTGAGGCAGCATATAAATTTTTAATAAATAGGTATTTTTACTTTTCATGCCACCTTCGACAGTCATAAATCAGCACGTCTATAAATTATGTTATTTTCATAATATTATCCGCGCCAAGTACATATGTATGTAGCTGCTTAAACCCAAAGCAAAAATCCATAGAGCCACTGCGCCAACACAGAAAAAAAGCTGAGTGCAGCAGCCGTAGCAGCGGTGCTGGGCGCCTGTTCTGCTTAATTTAATGACAGCCAACATTCAACAAAATGTGTGGCGGTGCAGCTACTTTGTAACGTGCATACAAATTTACTTACATACATATAAACACGCTTTCATTGGAGTGAATAAATAGAGTGCTGCATGCCGAAGAAAGCCCTTTTCCATAGCTCCATTATAGTTCCATCTGCTGGTTCCCTTTTGCTCGCCACAATAATAAGTTGACATGTGCGTGCATGTGCATGCGTATGTGTTTTTTTTTTGTTATTTTGCTTTTCATTAGCCTGCCACATTTCTTTGCCACATCCAATGCAATTAATTATGAAAATCTGCTGCATCTGTTGATGATGCATGTTGCTGCCGTTGAATGATGCGTGAAATGTTGCGCGCCAATTCCAAACAGCAGTTTAGTCTCATTTTTCTGGATCCTGTATACATACATAGATGTATGTGTGCATGTGCAGCTTTGCTCGTTATAAGCAAAAGTTAATTGTACTATCTACTTGTTTTTGTTTTTATTTTTTAGTTTTTAATTTGTGCATTTTTTGACTACTGAAATATTAATTGGATCCATGTAAAATTTTCTTTCGTTGCAGGTCGGTGGTGATGCGTAATGCACCGCGTCTTTTCGGCGAAGAAAATGGTGAGTAAATTATTCAAATGGATACATATTATGTCCACACATATAAAGCCACATGTATGAAGCATAGATGAGTCAATTTGGTTTGTCGAAGAAAATGTGCGGAGAAAATCGGCCTTATTTTGAATTCCTTGTGAACAAATATTCCCAAAAATTATAAAGCAAAAGAAGAACAATTTTTCCCAATTTGTTTTCGTTTTTCTGTTAAATTATGGGATGATTTATTCACACGAGGTTCGCGATAAGGCTGAATATGGGCCAATAGTGTACTTAATTCGGTGAGAGCTTTTACTCTGTGCGTGTCCATATAAAATCTACAGAGAGCTTTGAAGAGCATCCCTGACATATTTGAAGCTGAAGCTCAAAACTTAGGGAGTTTCTGCTGGGAGTTTCTATAGGTTTGTCGTGCAAATACGCCCTTTGCACGCGACAAAGCTCCACAAGCGGCTAAGCTCTACACTCGAAAGCTCGAAAGAAGGGGTAAAATGAAGAGACCCAAGGTGTTTAAAACTTAAGCTCGAGAAAGCTGGACAGCTGAGTAAAACACAGATGTTGCAGTAAGATCTCGAGGTGGTGTTAAGCCTTACCGTACGCACTCTGATCTGGAAATGCTAAGTCCAACTGCTACCAGTATTTGTTAAGTTCTAATAGCTCCCCAAATGACCGCCGTTTTACCCGAAGCCAGAATGTTTTAGCTGCCTTGCATTCCCAGGTTTTCCTCCAGCATTCACTCAGCTTAATAAAAGCCCACATGTTCGGAAGCAGACCACATGTAGCTAGCAGAGCCCTTTGCTTTCTTTGCTCGGCGGCAATTCTCAGCAGGACTTTTTTTGATAGCTGTTCAGCCATGACTGAAGTGATCTGATACGGTTAAAAAAGAATTCAGGCATTCCCCGACCGTTTTCGAACGTGATGTCAAAGATCCAATGACCCTGATTACAGCTTGGCTATCAGAATATATTTGTCGGCTGAGTGGAAGTTCGCCCTACCTCGGCTCAAAACTTCCCTATATCAGCAGAAGTTGAAGAACGCCCCATTTCAGAATTTAGTTGAAGAACGCCATATATGAGAATTTGGTTCAAACACGCCCTATCGAAAATGCTCTATCAATATAAATTCAATATTTATAACTGCCGCTGAAATAGGGCGTTTTCTAACCATTTGCTGAGATAGCGCGTTTTGGAACCGACAGCCGAGATAGAACGATCTTCCGCTCAGCTGTCATTATGTTAACCTCCTTAAAGTGTTTTGTTTTTCCTGTTTATTGTTTGAGGCTACCTCCTATTAAAAAAACACTGCAGTGGTACGGTAGCCAGAATTTGCAATTTATGGAGACTTCCTCGCCGAAGTCACAGGACCCTGGCTGGGATGTTCGGTGATCAGTTCGGACCAAAATGAGATTAAAATTTCTTGAAATTCTAATGTTGGAAAAGCGATGGTGGCTTTATCTAGTCCGCTTCACCAAACAAGGTCACACCGTCAGGTTTTATAGAGCCAGTAAACCGCAATCCACGAGATCCCGGCGCTTGCCCATGAAACCTCAGCAAGCGACGCTTTATTTACGCTATCCTCGGTTTAGGGTTTACAGAAAAGCTTACTTACAGGAAATGAGCCCAAATACTTCACCTCATTAGAGAGCACTAAAGAAATATTTTTCTTAGTCTTTAAAGAGTAAGTTACAAAATTACAAAAGCTTTCCATCATATATCTGGATGCCAGTCAAAGCCGAATGCTGATCTCACATCAATTTATTTCATAGAATAATTCTTCAAGATTTCTGTCAGCTTTGCATTCAGATCCACTCAGATCATAACTAATTGTACATTCATCATTTAGATTTTTATTATTTTCATGAAAGCGCATTCGCTTGAAAGGAAAAAGTCAATGAAACATACTTTATAAATGAATCAATGGCTGATCTTGAATTGATCTTGATTTCCAATGCGCTCACAAATTGTAAGTGAATAATTATTGACGTACCTTGTGTTGATGCTCTATCCATTATGAAACACTCTTGATGATCTAATGCTGATGTTTTGCAAAAAAAAACAAGATATTTCAAGTATAACAAATATTAATTCAAAGCTGAGTAATAATTACAATTATTGTGTAAGCGTTGGATGAACGATTTACTTATTTACATAGCTTACCTTTAGTTTAAAGAAATTTATAAAAAAAGTTTAACATTCATTTGTTGACTATCTAAATTTATTTTGATTTAATTAATTAATAGGAATATTATTTGCTGATAGCCATTTCCATAGTTGCCCTTGATGAGCTTTCAAGTTATTGACACTTCGGCTTAAAAAGCTATCTTCAACACCCACATACAAGTTTTTATTTTGCATTGCATACTTATTTAGACAAATCGATGCTTAATCAGTCAAGGTCAAATGGAGCATGCTGAATTAAGTAGAAAAATGAACACAAGACAGTAAATAAATATTACGAATTTATATGTATATACATACAGTGAAACCCGCTTAAGTACCCCTTTGCTTAAGTACCTAACCCGCTTAAGTAACCAACATTTTTGGACACCGTGAATTTTTTAATATAATCTGAAGAAAATCCCTCTTAAGTATCTCCCCGCTTATTTACCCCACCCGCCTAGGTACCTAATTTTTTCGTGCCTCATTTACAATTCTACCTATTATTTTTCCCTTATAAATGCTCTTTTAAAATTCCTTAAAATATTTACGTATTTTGAAATTCACTAGCAGCACTACACACCTTCGGTAAAAAAATTCTAAAAAATCAACGGTAACTTTTAGCCACTTGAAACTTGCACATTATTACACTAATATTGAATGGGCTATATACTCAAAATGCACTTCTGTATACCCAAAATACACTTCTGAGAAAAATGTTTGAAACTATGATGAATTTTTTTTTTAAGTATTCTACAAAATCTTAAGCTTAGGTATTTGTTAGGGAATGAAATGAATTTTAATTGATTGAAAAATCTTAAAAATTAATGAATAAACATAAGTGGCAAACAATATCAATTTGAATTTGGTAAAAATTGATATGTCCAACTTTGACTTTTTAAACAATTTAATTTTTGTAAAAATGACATACCATTGCACTAAATATTTTTTTTAATAAAGTTTTTCTTTACTTGTTTATGTGTTTAAATAATGCTACGATTTTGGTTTTAAACTATGTATACTCCATTAAATGTTGTTATTCAAGTATTTATGTAAGTTAACAAGAAGATGAAACTACATCAGTAATTATGTTCGCTAAGTACCCGCATCGAGGTACTTAAGCGGGTTCTTTTAAGTACCCAACCCGCCTAAGTTCTTCAAAAAGCTGAAATTTTTCGTGAGGTACTTAAGCGGGTTTTACTGTATGTACTTAAAAGTAAAAAAAAATATTACCCTGTTTTTTTTTATTTCGAAATCGCTTTAAGTCACCTCTAAATATTTTTTGATTTCAAAATGAAAAAATTGGGGAATATTTCAGGTATAGAACAATCCTAGGGCCTGAAAGCATTAAAATTCCGACTTTACTTATTTTGTACCACCCTAATGTACCTTGAAAAAATATGAATGGGTGTATGCCGCCAATAAATGTAGCACCAAAAAAGTAGGAAAGAAAAAAAATAATTTTTCTTGCCGTTTTAGTAGCGATTTTTATGAATGAAAGCCCATAGAAACTACCGTAGCTCGAAAAAAAATTAAATTAGCTTACTTTTAACCCCTCCGCATCAATGATTCAAGTGACGACTTTTGTATTTATTCAATTTCCGAAAAGTTTACTAAGCAACCGGTTTTATTTTGTTTATTCATAATTTTTAGTCTAAGACTTAATCACTGTTATTTGCTTAGCACACCTACCTAGCTAGTCATTATGGCAGCAGCTATTTTTGGCGGTGATTGCATATCCCACTCTAAGTATTTTTGGTTAATTTTTGGACAAGTGTAGGAGGACTTGCATGCAGTTGCATTATGTTTGTCATTAAGTTGGATTTAGTTGATTTAATTAAAATCTGGTTTCAATTGGCATAGCGTTTTTTCTTCTAGAATATGCGACTGGCGGTGTCGATAGCATAATTTTGAGTGCTGATCACTTTAATGTTGCCTAAGTTTTGATAATGTCAATGATCAACTCCTACAGAAAATTTTGATACAAAAATGCCGGAGCTTATCGTAATTTACTTTACAGACTAAGACAAATTTATAGAATCAATGTATAATAGCCGGCTTGAATCGATCGTATGATCGGGGAAACCCTGCTAAGGATCATCAACTGATCACAGTTCCAAAGACCGAGTACTTTCGTGGATTTGTGTTGCTACAATAACTGCAATGACAACGCTACGGTTTATTTATAAGGACACATGATGAAGGCTCTCTCTGGCCAAAAATTAACCCTGCATATCTAGACATGCTTTGCGGGATGATTATGTAGGATTTGTTTTTTTTTTCTGTCCTTCGATATGAACTTGGTACCACCAGGATAACTGCTTTATCTGCATACACAACACCTCGAATAGCTTTCGATGTGGTGGGAGGCATAAATTTGCGCAACTAAGGGCGAGTTCTTTTAAGTATAGCGCCTGTTCAATACATGCAACCATTTGGTGCAAGGCTGTTTGAACCGTTGTATTGTGTTGTAAAGAGTAATCATATTAGGCATCGGAAGTAGGAACTTAAAATCGAAAGTCTCTTCAACAGCTTGTGGAGAAACGAAGAGTGATTGGTGGGTCGAAAATCGTATGTATTGTTTGGCTCGGCTTTAGGTGTGAAGGTCGCACTTACCTCGGTGAAATTTCGTTAGGCAGGATGATATTGTGGCTACTGGTTTTTAGACCCGAAGATTCCTAAGGTGGAAAGATCTGATAGCCAGAGTTATCTTGTATTTTACATATGACGATTTAATCGATTTGTAAGCGATAAGGTTGCTGCCACAAAGATGGCTGTCCCTTCTATATTGACACATCCAGGGAAGTAGCTATACACTAGATGGATTAATATTTCAAGACTGTTTTTAGTGTGGCCTGCAC